TTGGAGGAGCTGCTGTCAGCATGATAGAGTTTGAATAGATTCTGAGAATAGATTGGTTGGAACAATCTAGTTGTTTAAAACTAGTTGTTTAAAACTATTTTGGTGAGAATAAACAATGTAATGATCAAAATCTGAGCAGGCCACCGGACACAGTTAGTGTTAGCACATCAGCATTAAAAACTATTTTCTCCGCTCTATGGTTATCTATATTAGTGGTGTCATCTATAAGACACACGCTCTCTCCCTAGAGGTCGATTGTTCAAAACCGGCCTTTGACTTTTGAAAGTTGCAATTGAACTTAATTATTTTGGCTAATGAGACTAATTTGCATTGGTTTGCCCTAGTAGAAATATAGATTAGGTAAAAATGCTGCCAAATTAGGTCGGTTTAGCCAAAAGATTGGTTGAACACAACTTCCGACTGAATAAAACCAAAAAATGTGGAAAACCTATTATGTTTGAATAAAAATGACTAACACCTTTTATTTTGCTCATGTCCAATTTGCACAAACACTTTCACTGCCTGCTTGAGTTTATTTCACTAAAATGGCAGAAAAACTGTGCACCTTAAATGATTGTTCTAAGAAATTTTTAAAAAATTTACAAAAGATTTTATTATACACACAAACAATTAACAATTTCTAAGGAACTAAAAAGTGGGAAAAAAAAGAAACATTTGCAAAAAATCACAGATTTTATAACTAACTGTAGTTCTGCGCTGCACCAGTAGGTGGTGACATGTTCATATGAAGCTTCATGAACTGTGGGGATCGTTGAAGCAATTTGGCCAAATGGTTCATTGCCTCATGAGGCTTCATCTCACCATCACTACCAGAAACCATGGAGACTTCAGGGGAAAATAATAACAACGAGGAAGACACAGTAAGACAGAGTTGTACGAAGTTAGACGAGGAACCAGCTCTGAGGAACTGCACAAGGTGAGTATTGATGGCTAACTGAACAAAGAGAGGACTAATGAGCAGATTAGGAGCAGGTGTGAAGAGAGCAGTCTAAGGAGCTAGGGAGAAGGAGACCAACACAGGAGAGCAACAGAGGGCAACAAATAAAAACCTAAGAACTGAAATATAACCAGAAAACACAACAAAATAAGAATTAAACCAATAAAACTAGAAATTTGAATACTCAAAAGAAAACATAACAGAACCAAGACTGTGGCAGTTGGTGGCACAATATAGCAGACAGCATGTCATACAGGAGCTGTAAACCACCCCTAAATCTTTTTACTGGTACCGTTCCTTTCACCCCTAAACAGGTCACCAGCCCATCGCAGGCAAACAGGACAAACAGCTTTCTACACAGCCTCACACCTAAGGGCACTTTAGAGCAGTCAATTTCCCTGATTTGCAAGCTACACTATTGGAGGAAGCCGGCACAGCTGGAATCAACCCAAACCTGCATGGTGAGACTTTGCCTACATTCCAAAAGCTTAATTAAGGATTTTCTTACAGCAAGACAAGAAAGTCATTAAAAAGCAAACTGATTCACCATGAAGCCTGATTTGAATTAACAGATTAATAAGCTTGTCAATAAAATTCTCCTTTATAATGAGGTAGCTGTATGAACAAATTTCATGTTTTTCACTGTCAGGCGTCATGATATCACATAAAATCTGTTAGCTCTAAACCCTACAGTATCATGACGACTTTGGGGACAAAATATAAAACCTTTCCTGTATACTTTAGATTAGCAGTATTTTCAGCTGCAGAGAAAATTCAACTGACTGCCTGAAGGAAATTGTTTAGAATTATTAGGATTGCTTTTACCTATAACAAGCTGTGCTTTTAAACTACAGAACTTTCTGTTTTTTAAAACGTACTAGAGGCAACTGTTCAAACAATTAGCTGATCTCCTGAGCTCATATTTGTACGTTCCACCAATAGTTCTCCTACCACTGTTGACCATTGAATGGCTGCTCTTGCTGTTGCCTTATTAACAGATTTCCCACTAGCATCTTAGCAGGATCTCTATAGTTACTGCGGGCCTCCAGCTGCTCTCCTTTCCAAGGTACATATCAATGTCGCCTTAGGTTTCTAGCTGAATCATACTCTTTTAGTCATACATCCCCTTGGCCTTCACGATGCTGTTAGTTCTCACAGTTTTTCTAACAAATCTCTCAAGGCTTCATAGAGGAGCAGTATTTATAGTGGGAAATTAAACACACTCTGAGAATCTATTTAGTAATTAGGGGACCTCTGGAGTTTTAATATATCTCCCAAGGCACTATATATATATATATATATATATATATATATATATATAAAGGCTGCTCCAAAATTCTTGATAATTTTAATGATAAACCGCAAAAGATCAGACATTTTTTAAGCAGATGCATCATTTTGACAGATGTGTTTTTAAACACAGTTTACTGTGTCAGTCAGTTAGAAACAACTCCTGTATCAGTTAAATGACTTTTTTGAAACATATTGTTTTGCTCTATGGGCTTGACGCATGCACCTACGCATTTGGGTTGCTGGATGATAGAGAAAATTGTTGCAAATCATTTAATGTCCTTCCTGCAACTTAATAACATGCTGCATTCTTTCAAATTTGGATTCTGTCCTCAATATTCATTAATTGCTATTTTATTGAACAACAAAAAAAAAAAGGCATTGATAAAAGCCAAACCATCAGAGAGGCCTTTTTAGATTTGAAATCAATCGAATCATATTGACCTTCAACATAAATGATCTTTTAAACTTTGATAACACATTAGATTGGTTCAAAACATATCTAAAGCAGATAAAGCAATGTTTGGTCATTAATAACGAAGATACATCTCTTTTAACATTAGAAACAGGTGTCCCTCAGGGATCAGTACTTGCTTTTTTACAGTATAAATCTACTTTCCTACAACACGTCCCAGGGCAGGTTTCCAAATGTATGCAGAGGTAATTGGTGGTAATTTATCTAAGCAATGTTGAAGCTATATCTTCTCTTCTGCAGCTCTATCTATCTGGTTTTAAAGATCAGGACTTATTTTTAAAATGTCAGTGGAAAACAATCAGTGTTTCATATTACACAGAGAGGGACCATTCGTCTTTGTGCAGTCTCACAAAGGATATCAAGCCATGCACTCTTAAAGATTTGGAGTGCTTTTGGAAGAGAAACTGACACAGAGCATCACAGATCCTACACAGCTGGCAAGAGGTTCATTCTAACATATCCAACATACGGCTTTTAACCAAACTCACTTGCAGGTGTCTTGTACTAACCTTTCTTAAACTCTTACCATCCAGTTGATGGGATTTTTTTTTAACATCCTTGTGCCTGAAAGCTAAAACAAACAGGCCTCTGTGTCACATCATTTATACGTCCAGATAAGCAGAAAGAGAATGATAAATAATTACAATTTTGTTGAAACTCCAAAAAAACAAAGGTAAAGTGTACTTTTTCTTTAAATGCTTCCATATTTTGAAAGTCATCATTATGAGTGTGAATTGTTGTGCAACAGGGGGTTTTAAGGCAAAACATGTGTTGTTTTTTTCTATAGATGACATTAATAAATGCAGGAAATGCAAGACTTATTTAATGAAAGTCACAAATTTAGGAGGGACGTCAATGAACCTATTACAATTAGTAAAAAGGCTGCTACGAAATCATGCTCTCTGCGCAGATGCTAATAAACGCATTTATTTTGCTCTGCTGCCCTCTAGTGATAACATCTGGGGATTTTTCAAAACTGATTTTTGAGATCCAACTGGAGCAGCCAGAACATTTTTAGGTCCTAAAGGTTCTGGTTTGGTGTCTTAAACTTCAAGGGTGTGGAACCACCAATTTGTCACATCTAAAACTGGATTCCTAAAAGAAATTTGAGCTTATTGTCCAATTTTTACCACATAGATATATCCTACAAAACTCACTCTACAAGTTTTATTTGCTCTGCTGCCATCTGGTGGAAAGAATAATGAGGTAAACACCATTTCAACTTTTAATCTTAAATTTTAGCTCAGTTACCGTAAATATGTCATGAAAATTGATAACATAAAATCAGTAGGACTGCAAATAGATAGAAGCATAGCCAGACAGTTTTTATAAGGGTGGCCAGGTAATAGCCAATGTACACTGAGGGGTGGCCGAAAATGGATAGGTGCCAGAACCTCAGGGTCAATCTACACTGTTCCAAAAGGAAAATTAACAAGCACAACATCCATATTTTTTAAATGAAGACCAATTATACTTTCCTACAGCCTTTGCTAACAAATAGATGCATATGTTTAAACATCTGTGCTCTCAAGATGAAAGTATAGTGGGTAAAATTCTTTCACGTTTGAGTTCTGGGGCAGACATCTTTTCTATTGTCATTACTTACCTAGTTTCATCAATAATCATTCTGCATAAAATTGATATTTACCAGTACTAATATCTACATAAATTTATTGCTTAATAAGTTTTTATTAAAATATTTATTTATCTAAGATTTCAACAAAGACTCCTAAATGACTTGCAGAGACGCATAATTCTCTCTTTACCCCATAAAACACAAAATCTAGTTCTGAAAAAAAACATGAATTCTGTACTTATCATCTTTAATGTTAGTATATTAATGTGCATAATTAACCACAGTGCTTTTTGTTGTCAAGTAATCGTTACTATATAAAAACTTGAGAGTATTACTGCTGCCACCATCTGTATTAGAAATTTCTTTATTTGCTCTTAGAAATAAACTTCGTAGTTAAAGGATAATAAAGTCAAATGTAATAAGGCTAAGGGTATGATTACTACAGTAATAAGGATTCAAGCTCAAAACTAATTAAACCATATTGATATCGATCATATTTTGTACTTTAAAAATACATTCTTATTAAATGCTCTCAAAAAGGCTTTTACGGATTTATCATGTGGTAAATTATGATTTTTGATAACATGTGTTTTGAGTTCATGACACAATTTATTGTACAGTTGTAAAAAGAATAAAGAACCGCGTTTGCCTTGTGTATTACTGTGTAATTATTGATTAGCGCGTGCGCATACGCTCCGCGTGCTGATTGGATGAGGCTGTCGGGCTGAATTTCCGGGTCAGACTGAACACAATCAGCTGTTTTTCTAAAGAAAACATCAGTCAGTCTCCGTCAAGCTGCAATCATGTCCGCCTCTGGGTTTATGCTGCTGATTCTGGCTGCGTCTCTGTGTTCCGGTAAGATTTTAATGTCTGCCTTGCACTGACATAACGACCAGCCGCCATTTACTTTCTGTTTACCGAGCAGCTAGAATAATAAATAATTCCCTATTGACAGTATATAGTTCCAAAAAAACACAAAACAAAACAAACAAAAAAACTCACCATTTTCTTCATCATGAATGTGTATTCTCCCTGCAGGAGATTCCAGATTCATTGCTGACCCTTTTCAGTTCACTGGACAAACTCATCTGGTAAGAAGATGCGTCTTACATTTAGAAATTAATAATAATAATAATAATAATAATAATAATAATAATAATAATAATAATAATAATAATAATAATAATAATAATATCTCTTCTGTTCCTACTTACCTGTTATTTCCAGTCACGCGGGATGTGTCCAGAATGCAGTCAGATCATCCAGCTCTCCACCAACATGATCTTCAGCAGAGACACCAAGGTATGAGCCTGCAGGTTTTATTATGACAATGTTAGAAAAACAAGTTATTTACAGACTCTAATAACAGGAACACTGTACATCCCAATGAAGACACTATTACAGCTATATATATATATATATATATATATATAAAAAACTGATATCTGTATTAATAGTTTTGTCAATCATAAAATAAAGTGTTTTATTTTTGGAGGTTGTAAAAGTTATAAAAAATGCAGAAGCTCCTTTGGTATATATGTATATATTTTGGAGGCACCATGAATTCTCTTCTGCCATTAAATATGTCATGCTTTCACAGGTGACTGTGTTTAAAGCCTTGCATGCTTTGTGTCAGCGTCTCCCCAAAGAAGAGGCATCAGAATGTGAGTCACAAGTGAAAATATATCTCCCTAAGATCCTGCAGCAAACATCCAGTCAGTGGGTGAGTTTGACTTCTCCTCACACCTGTTTTTGTATGTATATTTCATAAGGTTTATAATATTAAAGATAACGCCTGTTTATACAGAAACCAGAAGAGATCTGTGAGGTTTTTGGACTTTGTGCAACCCACAAGGACAAGGAACTGCAGGAGTTCCCTCAAAATGTCCTCAGTAAAGACACATCCAGCTCTGTAGTCGGCACTGCTGCTGAAACCCAAGTTAGTATGAAAAAGCAGAACATGACAAAGTGAGAGCAGAAGTGAAACCTTGATTTTTTTTACAGTAACTGATCAATCTGTACCTTATTCCTCTTTCTAGGATGTATTCAACCCAATTTGCACTGTGTGTTTGATGGTTATCAAGAAGCTGGAGACGCTGCTGCCTAAAAATATGACTGAAGTGTGTCTTTAATTTTATACTATTCTGAAAGTAGCCACCATCCTGACTTAAGGCAGCAGAGCAATTATCCTCTCTTTTAACCTGCAGGAAACTTTAAAGAAGCTGATGGAAGAGGTCTGTGATCTGGTACCATCCAGCTACAAGGACCAATGTGATGATTTTGTAAACAAATATGGGGTGGAGATTGTTGAATTCCTGTTGGCATCAGCTGCGCCTCACACCATATGTATGCTTTTGCACCTTTGCTTGTTTGAGACGCAGCCTGCTCCAGGTCAGTAAGATGTATTTTGGAACCAAGAATGATTGGTTTTTATAAACTGTTTTTATATCACATCTCAAAGAGACAATTTGATTAGTTTCATATGATCGACTTCATACCTTTAAACAAATTTTTAACGTTTTTAATCTTGTGAAATGTATTTAGAATTTTGATCACATAACACCTACAGTGCAACAAATGTTATCTAAATCATTTACACTGCAGCAATCCCTCCTGAGCAAGCATGTGGTTAAAGCGGAGAAGAAAGACTCCTTTTTTAATAGGAAGAAACCTAAACTGGGATCATTCTAGGTCTGTTGTAGCAATCAGAGCTTAAGAGAGCAAGGGTTATAAAAAAAAAACAAAGAGATCATAGCATTAATAGAATAATAGCTCCACGATACAGCCTTCCAGAAAGGAATTGAAGTCAAGCACACAGAGGTCATGGTGTCGCTTACATGGAGAGAAAAAAAAAATCAATACTGGACATTTAGTACTTAAGTAGGTCAGAGGTAAAGAATGATTTCTGTTATGAAGGAATCTGTTCCCTCACCTCTTATTCACAAATACCACTTTCCTAATAGACTAACAGAGCCTAAAAACTATTGATAAGAACCTGTCTGACAACATGAAGTAGGCTGAAGTCGTGATTTGCAGTCATGTTGCTCTGACAACAGATCTACTTTGTAGTGGATCACTTTTGCATTTGTTCTTCCCAGAGCTGGACCCAATCTCTGACTGTGAATCCTGCCAGACACTTACTGCACTGAGCCGTCTGCACCTGGGCCTAAACGCCACCGAAACTCAGACATCAACTTTCCTCCAGTCTGTGTGCACCCTGCACCCAAAAGCCATCCCCAAGGTCTGAGTCTCACCTGACGCTGACAATTACTAATACCTGAAGTTATTCATTTTTTAATGAATTTTTTTTTAGTTTTCACCAGTTACTTTCAGTGTTTTTATAGGAAAAACTCACAAATCTGAACTCTCTTTACAGTGTGAGGCTTTTACCAGAGTCTATGGCTCACAGCTGCAGAAGCTGTTGGGAAACCAAATGGATGCCCCACATGTTTGTGAAGTAAGAATAAGAAATGGTTATAAACAGAATGTATTGTCCTCACAGAGATGAGAAAGAAACTTGTTCATATCTGTTCAAAAATTATCAGAGGAGTAAAATCTTGAAAGATTTTGTTATCCCTGACATGGTTTTTTTTTATATTTAAGGACCAAATGTGGTCTATCGTGAACATATTTGAACTTTCATAATATTGAAAAATATTTTTTACAGGTTCATGTTATCTGATTATTTCTGTCCTGCAGAAAGCTGATCTGTGCGTCCCATCAAAGAAGCTGGAGCCACTGGGGAAAAATCCCTGTACCTGGGGACCAAGCTACTGGTGCAAAAATGTAAACACTGCTCAGGAGTGTGGGGTAGGTACAAGTCATTTTCATTATTCAGCTGGTAAACCTGAACATCAGCCGTTTTCATTTTGGGAAATGAAAACCAAAAGGTTTCAAATGAAAATGGAAAATAAATAACATGGACATGTTTAAAGAGTTATAGTCCATTAACCAAATTAGCTCATTTTAGACAGTGCATGCTGCTGGTCATGAGGTGGGCATTAGAAACATTCTCCTTCTTTCAAAACAAGAACCATATGGGTTTTTGGTCTAGTGTTTGAATTTGTCCAATATAGGTTCCCAGCTGTGGACGAGTTAATAAATTAGCCTGTAGTGACAAAACGTGTGACCTTATTCTCATTCATTGTGCAAGCTGTTGTATGCACATATTTTAGCTCATATGGCATATCAGCCAAGTCAGTGAATTCCTTTTCAATACTGCTACTGAAAATAATTTTTTCATGGTTTCGTTTTTTTTTTTTTTATCCACAGAACGAGCTCTTCTGTGAGAAATACATGTGGAAGAATTAAAACCTTGTAAGTTTCACGACAGCTACACAGCAGCACTTGGTCTGCCTTGAATAAGTAAAGCACTGAAAATGTTAAATGTTCTGTAAATGAAGTTTCATTGATTGTTCCAGTTTACCTACAAGGTCATTTAGGTGCACTATCCTATTCTATTGTAGCAAAATTCTTAGAAATCTTTATACTTGCATGGGAATCATATTAATCTGTATGTATTTTTAAGTGTTACTCTATAAGCTTAGCTTTGTGATCATTAATGTAAGAACAAAATGAAATTTCTGATTGTCAGCCATAGCAAGAACCTGCAATGTTTCTAAAGCCATTCTAATGAAGGACTGCTTAGCTCATTTCACTCCTCTTCTGTTGATAACTGGATGTCAAAATGTCAACAGATAAAAATAAAATGTGACTAAACATTGTATTGTACTCTAATTCACCATCAAACACACATTTTTGAGTGGGTTTATTAAGAAATTTCCACATGGTAAAAACAGAGCGGTGCAAAAACACAGAGGCTGTTACATTTCTTTGCTTCATTTGGTCTTCAAAGAATGTCCTGATGCTCTTCTGCCACTTTTGATCCCTTTTCCCTCCATGTCACTAAAATACTTAGTTGAACCCCAAAGTGATAAAACTAAGAGCCATCCAGAGTGAGGAGTCTTGTCTCAATCACACCCCCTTGTGGTTGTTTGTGTCACTGCTCTCTTGCCTTTTCCAAATCTGTAAAAAAATGTTAGAAGGAATCGTTAATCAAGACATTTTCAGCCTGTTACAACAGCGCTGCTCGATAGGCATTTAAAAAAAAAAAAACACAATTCCAATAATTAGTTATGTGGACAAACTATAAAGAGGATGGTTTAATATCTTTTCTTTTACAATTCTTACTTAAAAAAAAAATTAATAATAATAATTTGATAGTTCTGTTTTTAGGTCTACCCCACCTAAAGGTACTTTGTACTACTGCCAACAACCATTAAAACGGTAAAATGTCTAGATTAAAAAGAGCCAGAGGAGATTAAATTGACATTACTGAATTTCCCAGTTCAGAAAAGCCCCCTTTAAGACCTCTCCCCATAACTATCTTCACACTTAATATAATTAATAGACATACAGTTTCCAACACATTTGGATTCTTTCCCGGGTAAACCTAAAGGAAAACTTACTTGTATTAGGGCACAGAGTAGGAAGTTGCAAAACAACTCTAGATAAAAAAAAATTACCGATAATTATACTGGGTTAAATTTTTAATAATTGCAAGATAACAGTGGACTGTAATAGTCTGATGGTAGTTTTGGGTTTTGCCTGAAACAGACACAGGATCATAGTGGATATCAAGACATAACAATGGTTCAAAATTGCTTTAATGTTCCCTCATACTATATATCTGTTAGGCAATCTTTAACTAATGTATTCTAGGTTTTGGTACGGTAGTTAACAAGACGACATGCAAAGTGCCACAGGCTGCTACAGCTGTAAGAGGAATAGGTAAATGTAACGATGCTGCACACTGCTGATCAGCTGGCTGAAAGAAATCTACCCCTCCTTCCTCGGACTTGAGAGAAATGGATCTGAAGGAGTGTCGCCACGAGTCTTAATTTAAGGTAACCTTTTTTTTTTAAAATTAGTTGAGAGATAAGTTTTAATAATCTGCTTGTAACATGTGTTACTTGCTCTTGTAAAAAAAAAAAATAATAATAATGGTAATTTCATTCATTTAATGCATTTTTCTTATTTCTGTTGAGTAACTCTGCAGACGTTATCCAGTCATACAGCAGATAATAGTGTCTATGTTTGAGTACATTTTTTACAAAATCAGATAATGATGTTTATGAATGAATATAAATAACATAAATATGAATTGCTATAAGCTGCTGGATATAACCATTACCATTTTCAAAACACAATTAACAGACAAATGAGGCAGACTGACCTGGATGTAGGCCTCTGACAAAGTGATCATCTGAGGGAGAATGTCGATCACCTGCAGATCTTGCATTTCATACCACTTCCCTGTTCCCTGTTTAAACCAAGTGAATAAACAAATAGTCATGAAAAAATATTTTGATTAAAGATTATTTTAGTTTATCAGAACTGAGTGACTTGTTCATTTGAGTAAAATCAAAAATCATATAGAAACTGTACAAAAACAGAGTTTTAAAGTAAAGTTAAACACTTTCATTTTCAGGCACTAGGGGCTGAAACATCCTTTACTACCGTATATCTCAAATTAAGCTCATAATTGGGCTAATAGTTACAATGTTGCTTCAAAGACGGTGAAATCTTATGGTTTCAAATCATACATTTTAACAGACATACACCCTTTACCTTCTGCAGAATACTTTAGGGACTTTAAGGCTTTTTTTGTTTTAACTTTAGCCAAACACACTGTTCCAAAAGCAGAGTTACTAAAGAAAGAGTGGAAATCATTCTAAATTGATATTTTAATTTTATTAATGATTATCCAGGATGCAGACTTGTAAAAACAAGAATTATGATGTATAGGTTTATTAAGCAAACAATCTAACCATGACAAAAATTGAGATTTGCTTGCTACCTTCATACAGAAAAACTACTGTTTGTTTCTGTTGTGCTCAGCTCAACAACATCCGCAGCAGGTCTTTGTCCATCTTTCACATTCTGAACAATTCTTTTCAGTTTTGGGAATAGAATAAACTGTGTCCAATTCTCAGGACACTTTGGTTAAAACATGTCTGAACATCATGAAAAGCCTCCTATTTAACAGACAGGGGGCTTCAACTCATCTAAAAAAATAAATCTCCACCAATAAACATTAACATTTTAAAAAGGGCAAGGAACAACTTACATAAAATGTTTTTTTTTTTAATTTCTGAAGGTAAATGGCATCAACTTACATGATGCAGGACATGTATCCTGTAGGATCCTTCAGTGGGTTTCCCATCATGAACAATGTTGGCAACAAGGTCATAAGAAGTATTCTTCTCTGTAGCTTGAGCTTCTTCCGTGAGGTACTCTGAAAGGTCTACGTTTCTACGGAAACACATAAAAAGGCAACATTTACTCTGCAGAGGAAAAATATGTCAACATATTAAAAGGTTGTTTTTTTTTCCAACTTTCTTTATTGAATTTTACAACTTGACACAAAACAATCATTGGTACAATGAAAACAGTAGTTTTCAAAGAAGTTCAAGCTGATTTCTCCCAGAACCCAGCCCACCCCAAACGCACCCTGTCCAGGTCCAAGCACAAGACAAACAGCCTGCTGGGATCCAGTCCCTATAGCAGTTTCTAACAACACACACATCCATCCACACACATTCGAAAGGAGGCAGGAAAAGAAATAAAGAAAAAATAATAATACTGATACTAAGTAAATAAATGAATATATACTTAAGCGTACATATTAAGTTAAAGAAGTATACAAATAACTTACAAATGAAGAAAAAAATAATAATAATAATTTTAAATAAATAAATAAATTGTAAGACAAAGAATATATATATCTGTTAAAAAGAAAAGAAATGGATTGATATCAATGAGAAGGCCTACAGATAATTTAATTTTCTTCTGAATAACATATTAAAAGGGTTTTGACCAGTTTTTTTATACATACGTGATTGGGAAGTTGACAATTGTTGGGTTTTTCTCCACAAAGAAGTTGTTCTTGGTGAATCTTTTAATGCAAAAGATGAGATAAGGTGGCAGCTTGGTCAGCTGGAACCTTTTAAGGAAATTCTCTTTGTAGGTTTTGTATTCCTGAATGCAAAGTGAAAAAGGTTAGTTACATTTTTAATATTTCAGTTTCTGGTATTTGGACTATATAACATACTTTTAATATGCAGTAGTGAAAAGGACAACTTTTGGCATAATGTCCTGTACCTTTTCAGTATTGCCATTGAATTTGCCCAGGATGTTGAAAAGAGGGACCTGAGGGATAATAAGCTGCTCCTTTTCATCCTTGTACAGAGGAGCTGTTGGGAGGTCCAGGGTCAGAAACAGGAAGGAGGACTCGGACATCTGCTCCTGGTACTCCTCCGTCTGAAGTAGCGCCTCCTTTTCCTCAGGTGGCTGAAAAGTTTTCAGAAACGCAAAGGAAATATTTTAAGCAGACTTTAGATTGAGAATTAATAAAGATTCAAGACACTGTAAGTAATTACTTTGTGAATACTTTCATTTTGTTTAGGGATATTTTTTTTAATCTTTAATTGCAGGGATCCATATTTGTATCTGATGTTTTAAAGGAGTTTGACTGGTATCTGAAGTTATCATTCTTTAACCTTTTAACGTTTGCATTTAAAATGGAAATCTTCCTTGCAAAAGCCAAACACCTTATCAATCAGTTAAATTTTAATTCAACCAATGCATGAAAGTAATGTTCACGATGCATTTCTAATTAACACACCAACACCTAGCGGTTCACTAGGCTTATAATAAAAAAAAATATATATATATATATATATATATATATATATATATATATATATATATATATATATATATATATAAAAAATTCCCATCCCAAACCCCAAAGGGTTAATCATGGTCATCACATAATTCTTATTTTAATAATTATAAATAGATGTGATCTTGTTAATCTCTTGTTTTGTACAATGAGCATGCTCTATTGATTTTTATTTATCAGAGCAAATGTTAAAATGTTTTGGCTCATAAAGGTCTGTGGTGGGAAAAAAAAAACTAATCTTCTGTTTTATTCCTTTTACATCAATCGATTTATGAGTGTTGATTCTACATTTACTTACCTATAAAAGAATTCATTCAGGCCTCAGAGCTGCAAAGCTACAAGGTGTCTAAGGGAGATGATTTGTTTATCCTATTAGGGAGTGTTTGGGATAAAAGTTATCCTTCTCATAACAAGCTAGACTTTTTCTCAGGATTTATTCAAAACAGTTTACTGTTTTCTCCAACTGTCTGTAATTGTTTTTATAAACTGTGCTCTGATAACCTTCCCAGGCCAAGTTAGCAAGAGGAACTTTTGTCTAACCAGCTGGAAGGGCTCCTATGATAATCTTGTTCTCTCTTTGCAAAGAAGGATAATAAAATGCCAACTGAGTGAATTACCAACAATCTCCCTTATTAACCTGGATTGCATAGTTGACTTTTTTCTTTTTTTTCCCACAAAAACCTTTACTAATACTAACTGGAAAATATGAGAGATTTGCAACTTTATTTTACTTGAAAAATGAAATCCTGGAAGCCAAATTTACTGTTAAATTCAAACAATTCCAATTAAATACTCAAAAAAATCAACTAGTGCTCCAAACTCACCAAATCTGGGTGTGGAAGTTTCTTAGAGAAGATTCTCATGGAGCCTTGAAAAACCTTTGTGATGATTGCTGTGATAACAAAGATCAAAGGAAAAAAGTCAAATTAATACACACATTCTGTAAAAAGACCAAAGTCAATTTAACGTTAATTAATTTAAATCTTTTCTCTATCATTTTATATGAGTTCCAGCAGAACCTTATTTATGTTTATCAATGAGGTTCCAATAATCTTCTACTCACATGGCTTTTTCTTGGTGCCTCCAAGAGCCCCATGCAGAGCATTCAAGAACCATGTCATAAAGTCTACAGCATCACCTGAACACAAAAAAAAAATAATAAATAGCAGCAAAACAACATTATCCTTGTCTTATGGATAATAGAAGCTAGAGCACTATCAACCTACCCTGCTTCGTAATTTGAAAGGTCTTCTTGCTGCACAGCACCACGGCCTGCAGCATCTCATGTGGAGACACGTGGGCCTTGAAGTTTCTGGGGTTCCAAAGTTTGCGCATCAGCTCCCCAAACCTCTGAACCAGGAGGAACATGATGTCCCCTGGTGGTCTGCGGATTCCTTTGTAGTTTTCCTCCTCCAGGAAGTAGTTTCGCAAAGGTGGGACATTAGAAAAAGCCTGAAAAGATAAACATGATCTGTTAATATGATTTTATATTATTCCCCGCTGTTTCCACAATTCTAGAGAATAGCACCTTAATACCTGTAACACTGCATTGGCATAGTCGTTAGCTTTGATGTTATTGAGCCCCACGATGCCTGGCAGGTAGGTCGTCCCGTCATAGGCTCTGTACAGTTTACCATGCTTATCCAGTCCTGCAATGTGCTTCTTAGTGAAGGTTGGCTTTAGCACATACTAGAGAAGGCAGGAAAGCAGTGAGAAAAGACAAGTTTAATTGACTTAATACCACAATAGGTTTCTAAGGATTATTGGATACATAAGGTAAACTTAAAATTGCAATATCGCAGTTGGTATTTTGATAACAGTTTTGTGATAAAACCAATGTTTCTTTATTACTCCTTTTTTATATCAATGCATCCATACCACAACTATCCATAAGTGTTATTTAGATACAGAATTTGGATTTCAAAGAGCTGTATTAGGGATGAAATTGCAATTATTACAGTTTTAAATATATAGATCAACCAGTGTTGATTTTTTTCAAAAGCCGATGCAGACTATTTTGACCGATAGTGTATGTGTTAACTGAAATGCACTGAAATACAGCCATCAATTACGCAATTTCACGTATCAATTAAACAAATGTAACTGGTGAGCAGTTGTATTATTTCAAAATATGGTTAAAAAATATTCTTTATGAAAATACAGCACAGCCCCACTCACTGTGATGTCCTCTAGCGAGGAGTCGATGATCTCATAGTTATCTGGCAGACAGTAAAACTTCAGTGTATGGAGGTTGAGGAACACATGATGGCTGAACTGAACGCTGTGGGTATATGCATGGGACTTCTGACCTCTGCCTACAAGGAAAAACATTACTTTTAGTTCACCTGCTACCATGTGTTTTATCCCTCCAGGTAATGTCCAGTGAGTGTTACTTACCCTGAAAGTATTTCCCACATACAAGGCACGCATAGACGTTTATATGTGAGAGGGAGATGGAGCAGAGTTTCTCAAAGTCAAAATCCAGCAAACTCCTGTAGGATAAGAAGAGGGCAAACAGGGTTACCTAGGGATGGATCCAATTAGCACATAGCTGGTAGCTCCATTATGACAATTTAACGCAGTTTTGCCTGTTTATGGTGTCCAGATAAGGGCAATGGCGGCTTCTACGGTCTTCTTCTACACGTCCTCGTCCTCTTTTGGTTGAAACTGAAAAAAAAATAAATAAATAAATAAAGGGTCCATCACAAATAATCAATTGAAGTTTCTAAACATTCATTCAGCTACATCTCAGCTAGCTAAACGTGCTACATGATATAGCCTCCGACTCCCATAGCAAAACTATAGCAAAGTGACCTTTTAAAGCAGTTTATATAAAAAATTTAAAATGTTACAATAACATCGTAATATTAATCCAGTTCATGTCTATAAATAAACTATTTTAGAAACGTTTGGCAGTCATTTATAGCCGCTAGCTAACAAACGTTACAGCGACGTTAGAAGTAAACAAACTAACCCTCGTCTTCGCTATCATCGTCGTCCACCTCATCCTCTCTCTCTCTCTTCAAAGACATATTTTTAATAAATTTTCCTGCTGCGTTAATATCAAACCAACCAACTGGGAAAAGTTAAATTAGTTATGATACATGAATGGTTTCAGCACATCGAAACTCGCGGTGGTTGTGCGTCGCAGCTGCCAGGAAGGGCTAACAAAAACCTAACCCGGTGTTAAAATAAATATTTCTGTTTAAGTTAAACTATGATCTGGTAGGAGTACCAAACCTATTTTATTACTTACATCACTAATGTATTGCTTTGCTTATAATTTTTAATGATATTTACGATTTTCTCAGTCTCTTTCGTGTTAATATGCGTTTCCATTTTTTATTCACTCCGGAAACTGTGCAATTGGACAACAATTTATGGACAGCTAGCACACTTAGCTTTTGTCAGAGCTTGATTGAAATTTCTTGTGATAATTAATCATAAATATTGTAATCTGAGCTTAAACTATTTAGTAAAATGGATATTTTAAAAGACGAGGCAGTGCACGAGTTAAAATACAAACCGGGTGGTCGGCTGGACATGACCCATGGCTTCCTTCACCATATCCGCAGAAACCAGATTGCTAGGTAATATCCTCAGGCACTGTCAGCTAATGCTACTTGATAGATACTTTTAGGGCCACTGGATGTATTTTTCTTAAATTAGCAATTAAAAAGATCCGAAAGGATATATCAGTTCTTGGTCTGTGATTAAAAACTAAACAATGATCAGAATAAAACAGCAAAAGCCCGTATAGGCCTTTTTGGCCTGTCGGTTGCTTAGGTTTCTGGCCAAAGGTTTTAAACTTGTTGGGATGAGATAGTATTTCTTACTGGTTTTGAAAGATGTGTGTTTTAATAAACTGGAAAACTTGTTTAATGTATGCTTTAAAAATGAAACTGGTGTTTTGTAGATTAATAAACACAGGAACTCATTCCAAGTGCTTATTTAAGTTAAATTTTGGATAATAATTTTTAATTTCGAAACCCAAAACTATGTGTTTTTTTCTGAAAGTAAGTTAATTGCATAGGATTAATAACATGCACATATAATATGGAAATGATAAGCCCTGTACTAGAAAATAATTATAGGGAAGTTTGAACCCACAGATTACTGCATTGAATAATATTTGTGGAAGATGTAGCCTGGTGCACTAATGCAAGGTCAAAGTGTGGAAGTTAGAAATAGACAGGTAACCAGAATGGAAACCCTTTGGAGAGGATTGCCCATTCAAGAGTTTAGGGAGATCCATAAGTTGTAAACTGCAGCTGGACTCAGAGCTTCAAGGGCCTTTATCTCTCAGACCTATCCAGGACATTGGCAGAAACAAAGACAACATCAGAGGCATGCTATCTGGGATAAAGGAAATAAGACTTGACTCTTACGAAAAGATACGATGCCCCACCTTTAAAAGAAAGTTCACTTTGCACAGAAATCACTTTGCTTGAGATCCAGGGAACTTTCCTCTAGATGATTTAGAGAACCATGTTGTCTGCTGCATCGATCAGTGATGCAAGCTAACAATGTTTTTCTTTTTGTCATAAGAGATGATTATGATAAAGAGGTAAAACAGGCTAAAGAACTTCAGCGGCGAAGGCACACAACTACCCCTAGAAGACCTCGTCGACCTGACATCCAGGTGTACCATCCTAGACAAAGACGTAAGTTAATTGTGGTTTTGTTTTAAAGGGCTCTGTCTTTGACTTTTTTTGTTGTTTTTTTTGGTTTGTTTTTCAACATGGCATTGCTGATTTTGTTTTTGTTATTATTTTCCAGGTGGTTCAGAGCCAGGAACAGGTGCTGATCCTGAAGAGTGGAATGAGAGTGGTTCAAGCACTGAGACTGAAAGCCACGGGACAGAACTTTTTTGGCTTGACTATCAAGAGGACACAGGAGTTATTACTTCCTTCTTAGTGCACAAGGTAAATGCATGCTCCTTTTTCTTTCTGACATTGTGTCTCTTTGATCTCTGTCTTGGTTTCAATAATTTTCTGTACTTTCTTTTGACAGGACGACAAGCCTGAGAAGGTTGTGGAGCGTGTTGCAGAAAAGAACGTTCTAAACGCAGCCATGAGAGCTGCTCTAGAGGTTCGAATTCGAAAGGAAATTGAAAAAAGACGAGACAACCGATGATGAGGGTTCTACAACAGCCGATGCTATGAAGACAAAGCTGTTGCAATCTCACATATGTGCTCCTACCTTTGTGTGGTTTGTGCACAACGAGGGCCCTGCTGTCATTTACAGTCTCTGTTGGCAGAGGTGACCAGAGGACGAGCTGTATGTTGGTTAAAAAAGGTCAAGGAGCAACACTCATCACTCCATAGGGTACATGTAAATCAAATCAACATGTCCTATTTGTTTACAACTATCAGTTTTGTTGTTTTGTTTTAAACCAGAGAGAAGGTAAAGAAAGTATTTTCAGAGAAGCATCGAGATAGATCTCTCAGTTCTGATGAGTAATCCATCTTTTTTAATAGATGAGGCCACAATGTGTTTAGGTGGTAACTTTTGTTGTTTATATTCTAGTTGAATAATTTATTATGAGTTGTGGAAATGCCATCATTTTTGATACTGTAAATATAATGATAGTTTATTTTTTAATAAAGTATATGATGAGCTTAGAAGCATTTATGCTTCTTTCTGTAGTCTTGGTGATCTCCCCTTGCAGTGACAAGCCATAATCTATCACCATTCAGATTTTTGTATGTATCAATCTCTTTTCGTCCCGTTGAAAGAAGATTAGCTCTCACTAAAGATATGAGCTGTGTTAACCGATTTACCGGTATGTGAAATTCACAGCAGGTGGCAGCAACAGTCTTTTTTTTTTTTATCATCTCTTATCCTGCTTCTTTGTTGCTGTCTATTATTCCCATGCTCTCTAATTGGGTGTTTTTTTTCTGTAAGAATGCATTTTTTGATGAGATTATTTTATAAAATTAGCACCAAATGGGATTTTTATTTTTTACCTGAAAAATTACCTTGCATAAATTTGTATAATAAAATTGTTAAACAACTTTTAAAAGTCACCCAATTAGTAAATACAGTGCTGTGTGTAATAATCTCAGCATAGGTCATGCTTTAGATGATGCTGCTCTGAGGCCTCAGAGTTAAGGAAACATTAGTGATCAGTACCATAAAGACAAAAGAACACACCGGACAAGTAAGGGACAAGATAAGGTAAAAGTTTAAGCCAGTGTTGGCTCCTGGGAAAAAAAAAAAAACACCACCACCTATGTTATCTTTAAGGGCATATGGCACAAAGACAGAGGATATGACCTTATACTAAAACTGACAGGCTGGGCTAGGAGAGCTGCAGCTGCAAAGATCCACAACCTAAGAAAGACAAGGTAACTTATTTATTGTACTGCTGTTCTACTGTAGAACAGTATAAATAAAACCAGAATCTGTGTTTGCAGTTTAAAAAAAAAAGCTGTGTTTCATCCTGTCTCTGCTCCAGCACACTTCAAACAATTGCATTACCTCATCAGCCTACCATTAAGAGGTGCGGTAGCCATTCTGTCACCAACTTTGAGTCAGGTTTGTGTTGATTGGGAAATTCTTTACACCATCAAGGACAGAATCCTGAGGACCAGGGCTGAAAATAGCTAAAAATGCAGGAGACAAGGCAAGCTGAAACAGGTGGTGTGGTCAAATGAGTCTGAAAGATTTCGCCTACACCACCTACATTAACACTATGTTGGATAAAAACAACTACTGGTAATAGAGTATCCCCATAGCAAAGCATGGCAACATGCTGAGGGGGGTGTTGTTATGTTAGCTAAAGGAAGATGGTACAAGTTAAGCATCAAGAGTAGGACAAGAGACGAAGATTACTTGCTAGAGCTACAAAAGGCAACATCAACACTACTGTTCATACAGAGCAGCAAAGGAATTGTTTAGCAAAGCATGCTCATGTAGATTGGTCCAGACAAAAGCTAGAGCCAAAACTCCAGGAATTAATTGAAAACCCTTTTTCAGATGCATTTAATCCAATCTGGGCTTGAACTACCGGTAATACAAGGATTAGGCAAAAATCAGCTTATTCAGCTTCTAAATGTGCAAAGAAGCTACAGAAATCTCAAATACTTGTGGCTGTAACTGCAGGGAAAGATGATTGAAGGCTTGCTTTGCCCGAACGAGCACGCTTTACAGAATTTGACTTTCAAAGAAAATTGGAAATAAATCCATTCATTGATTGATCTTTGCCTAGGTGCTGAACTATGCACAAATTACAAAACATGTTATGACATTATTCAGTTTCTAAGTTCAGGTCAAAGTTAAGATAGATATCTGTTTTATCGTCCACATGTACAATCTATGTGTGAACTTTATCCTTTAATAAAAATATGCAGCATTTATCTTCTGCAATGAATATTTTTTAGCCTGTTAAAACAAAAATAAATAGATTTTCTTTTCCGCCTTTTTCTCGGCATCAACTTAAACAAGCTGAAACCAGTCAGGGCTTCAATGTAAAACTTGCCTCCAGTCAATTTCTCACACAAACTCAAATCTTTAAACAAAATTGCACGTTAAACAGGTTTGAGTGGGTCAACCAAACACTTTGATTATACATATTAAAACTCTTCTTAAAGTAGCCCGGAAAATGTAAAGTAGAGAATTAATAACTCCAGTTAAGGGGATCTAAAGAGGGCACACAGTTCAGTCAGCCTGCTGTGGAAAAACACAAAGCTGATTTCGCTTTCTGCTAGGGTTGATTTAGACTGTGGGAGAAGATTAACTCATTGTGTCATTAATGCCTGAAAATATGCAAAAACTTCATCCTCTTCCCATGCAGTCTGCCAGGTTATCCACAGTGTAAAACCTTGCCATAGCAGGAGATGTGAGCTCTGCAAAGCTATTGGTGCATCCGCCACACTCCCCTCTGGATCATCAACAGCCTTCTTCGGGTCCCATTTCATTCCTCCTCCTGCACGTGAGGTTACGCCATAGGGGGCTCATTCACATGTTTCCAAATCATTCCTACCTTTGCAGCTCCTTAATTGGTTATAAATCACCCAATCAAACACCACCTGTTTTTAATCAGGTAAGAAAAAAATAACTGGTTCATAACAGACAAGAAATAACTTGTCTTGTTATGAAAGACGCAAGTTTGAAAATAAAAAAATGTTTACATTTGTTATAACTTGAAATAGTCCCAAATGTCAGATGAACAGTGAGAACCTAAAATAATTAAATGGTTATGAAAACAAACACTACGAAAAGCATTTTTCTTTTTTTGTACAAGCTGCACATTTTCATTTAAATTCTTATTCAACTTAAAGTAGTCTAAACACACATAATTCACTGAAGTGTTAATATTTTCTCATGGTTTCTCAACTAATCCATGAATCTGCTGACTGAGAATGGACACCACTGATTTTCCTAGGTCTTAATTATATGAATTGTAATATTGTTTTTTTATTACAGAAATGCAAGAAAACTTTTTTTTAAAGCAACCAGCACTTAGGTTTGGCTGCTTTTGCTTTAATCATTGCACCAATATGACAAAGTATAAAGATGATTACCAAGGAGTTATACTAAAGAGGTGAATAATAACCTTCATTAATATGATCGTCCGTTTTGCATTTTTTTTTAAACCACACATTTTATCTTCCACTCAACTTTCACATTAGACATTTGGATATATCACTCTGTAAACAGCCAGCTTCTTCAGAAGTATCATTAGGTGTCTTACCCACCCATCTGTTGGACCACTGGGCTGCGTGGAGCCTTATGCGCATAGGAGCCATAAATGAAAATATCTCTATTAGAAATAGCCTACTTTTTATTGATCTTAGATTATTAGTATAGTTATGATATAAAAAAAATACTTGACACACAGGTCAAGTAAAATTTCTTTTGTGTAGTCGTACCACGCATAAAAAAAAAAAAAAAAATCATCTGGTCTATAGGCTTCCCCAGATCCTGCAGATTTTAAATTTAACAAAATACGAAAGCAGCTCCAATTAAGCTCATGACAATCCAGTGCTATAAACCACAATTTCTGCATCGTCACTGACACTAGTAAGAACCTCCCAACTCTTCTCTGTAGACAACAGAGAGGGAGATAGTTTAATAATTCAGGTTGAGTTTCATAATAAACTAAATATGTTTGATACTGGGCCAGGCAGGAGTTTGGACTCATAAAACCACTGAAAACATGGCTCATAACCCCAGTGTAAACCAACATTTGAGTCATAATTAATCTATTGTACTTTGCACCTAATGAACACGAAGAAACTCTAAATGGCTAATCTATTGTACTAGATAGTACAACAGATTAGCAGCAACCACTAGCATGTATTGCATCAGCTGCCACCATTTCCATGGCATAAACCACCCTGACCTCAGCTGGACAGGGAACCTTTCACACTGGATCTGCTCCATTGCATCTTAGAATGCGCTTTATCAGGAGGCATGACTCTGCTTCAGAAATGTTATCTTTAATGGTTGAATGGTGCAGACTTAGTTGCCAGGCCTCACCACACCAAATCTTTTTTTTTCTAAACTCAGCCAGAATGAAGAATCATCAATGCATCCATTTAAAGCCATTTGAGAAACCAGAGCGTTTCAGCTGCCAGCTTTCATCAGCAGAGTTGTGCTGTTGTGGTTGTGAGAGATCTTGTCCATTCATGGTGCTGGAAGCATGTCCCACCCACCAAACCATCAGCATTCAGTTAAATATAGATTTTAGACTGAGTAGTAGAGGAAATGAACACCTGTTTTAATGGCTCCGAGGTCTTTCCTGGAGCACTATTACCACTAATAGCTTGGTGCACTGTACGCTTCACTAGTCTGCAGGAACAGATTTCAGGGGTGAGGTACATACAGTGCTTCATATCTGCTGAACCCCTTTATGTTCTCACAACACAAACCTTGATTCCCTAACGTATGCAAGGTCAAAATGCATGATATGATATATTTTCCTTAAGTACCTGTAGATTCCCCACACAGTATATATACACCTGGTCCACTCCAATGTATTGTAATATGGTGGTCCATTAAAGTCAGAACCAAAGTCCAACTAGGAATTTGCTGCATAACATAAAAGTACTGTTCAAATACAATCTACCCAATCAGAACCATCAAACCTATAAGAGAACCTCAGGGGTGTTTTTGAGTAGGAAGAAAAAAAAAAAAAAAACACCACACTGCGTTTTCCTGAAGCACAAAATGACAAAATTTCACTTGAACTCTTAATTAAAAAAAAAGGGATGCGGTCGAGTATTGATTTTTCCACAAAAAACCTCCAATAGTTCAGGTTTTAACCAGTTAAGCTTCATTCAAGTGTGTATGCTTTGAAAAAAAAAAATTTAAAAAAAACGAACTTCTATAGAACATCCTGAGAACAAAATGTCCAGAATTTCACCTTTAGGCCAGCACCATTTAGGAAAAAAAAAAAAAAGTCTTAAAGAGACAGTATATGCTAAAACTCTTAACCTCCATCACAATTCTTTGCGGCTTGCATGTGCTGTCATTTATCAATGCAGCTTTACTTAATCCTGCATACCCTGCACTCTAAGATTTTAAAATTCCAACCTTTAAATACAGTCCACATACAAAAAGTACACAAGACAACCATTAAGATGAGTAGTTTGTTTTATTACAGAGCATTTGGAAACTACCCAATTTGGGCATGGAGCACATTACAGTATGAGCTACTGGTTCTTCTGGAAGTTGAATGCAGGTTTGTGAGAAGGGAAAAGCAAGAGAGACTATAGGGAAAAAGAAAGAAAGGCACTCTTACACTTACTGTATCCGATTGGACGACCGCTAAGCGGTAAAGGGGAACTGAACCAAAAAAAACTATCCAGATTACAGGACGGCCATGTAAACAAGGCTGGTTTCTCTGTACCACACCAGCCAGATGTAGCCATCACAATAATGAGGATAGACAAGAGCCAAAGAACTGCACCTGGTGGTTTTGACAAGATTGCTAAACTAACCCACCTAAAAAAAATTGAAATGCTGCATTTCAGGAAAAAAAAAAAAAAAAGGTAGTCACTTACAGTTGCCAACGGCACTTTGAGGCAGACCAAAGCTTTTCTGTACAACACTCTGGGGCCTCAAGCCAAACACCGAAAGTCAGCAAGTCAAAAAGGATTCACAATTCTGTCTAAAGCTGCCTTCTGAAACATCAGCTTCTCTGTATCCACGCCAAGTTTCAGGGAACAAATAAATAGTGTTGAGGTTTGTATTTCCTAGCAATAAGACCATGCCCCTTCAAGCTCAAGATGGAAAACAGGTTTCTCTGTAGCTACACCTGCCATCAAAGAGCTCAAGGAGCCCACGAATAGTCACTTTTATACCATAAAAACATGGGATACTTAAAAATAATAAAATTTAATCTCAATGCATAAACAAATAAATCTGTCCCAATACCAATCAAGTTTATCCAACCCCTGTGCAGACCAAAGCAGTGACAGCAGCTTCTGACTTTTCTGTATTACGTCAGAAAACAGCAGAGGTCTGCAGGGGAATTTGCGCCCCTATGCTCCTTTGGGCTCATTATCAAGAGTTGGCATTCTCCTTAGTCTGCAGTTCATAGCATTTTAGTGAAAACAGTAACAACCCTTTCATTTTAATTGTGCTTTCCCAGCATCCTGCACTAAAATGAGTAAAAGGAAAAAAGCCACCAGGTCATCCAATAGGCGTCTACAACTGCTAAAGGAGGAATGATTAAAAAAAGGCTGAACTGAAGTGTAATCATGTCAGCAAAGGCTCTCCAGCAGTTTAGGCATCTGAATGGACCAGAAGTTTAGATTTCATACAGACTCTTTACATTCAGTAGCACCATAAATTTAAGGGTAGTGCATATTGCCAGATATGCTACCACAATGACACCACATTGAAGACTTGGGATACCAACAAGACTGGAATGCCAAAGGAGAATGGAGTGAATGCAGCTACTGGACAAAACCATCACAACCAAAAGCATGAGATTCTCAAGACCAGAAAACACTGATAGATGAGTTCATGGAACCCACCCTACCCTTTAAAAGGTCAAGTTTCTGAGGTGTGCCTCTTAGGACCCTGCACCACTGTGCAGCCACCGGAAAACGGTAACAAGACAATAATGGAGATGAAGCAGGGAGTCATGCGTCTTATGTGTGAGAGCGAAAGGGGGAGAGAGAGAGAGGGAGAGAAAGAAAAAAAAAGTGCATTTCACCCCTGGAACCTTGGAGGCTTCTCTGTAGTATACACCAACAAGCCTGGGGGGAAAAGCTTAACAGGTTTAGTATTTAAGTTTTTTGGGCACCTCCCATGGGAAGGAATCTCGGCCAAAGTGGCCATAGGCTGCAGTCTTCTGATAAATGGGTTTCTTCAGATCCAGCTCCCTGGAATACATAATCAAGAAATTTAGCACCAGTCACTCAGCCCGACACACATTTTGAGTCTCACAGGAAGAAAGCTTAACTATACCATGGTTGTGTCTCACGAAGAAACTGAATATTTAAAGCATTTAGATGAAATGTGGATCTTCAAACACTTACCCTTCAACCAACTAGAGGCTGCAGCTCGCAGATAAAAAACACTCGACCATTTAACAAAACAAATATTTCTATAGACAAATTTAACAGATTATACAAAAATTTAGCTCCAACACTGCTCCTTGTTTATACAATAGAAACACTTAGCCGATGTATGATTCGACTAAAAAAAAAAAAAAAAAAAAAAAATCATCAGTACTGGTGAGGAAATTGGAGATGTGGCACATATTTATCAGTGCAGCAGCATGTTGTCTGAAGGCTCTACTGGGACAAAAAACATACTATTTTTGCTTCTTATACATGCATTAAGCCACAACGAAAAATGCATGTATAGCCCCTTTAAAACACCCAGATTCTATTTAAAAAATGTCCTCAGGAAGTAAAGCAACTGTGATTATTTTGTGATTCAATTAGATTGTTATATTAACTCAATTTGTATAGCCCCAATTAAATAAAAAATAAAAGTTGCTTTTTCAAAACAGCCCATATGCCAGCCTGGATCATGTGGCCCAACCAAAAAAGACTAATCTTGTTAGGCAAGGTCTTCAAACCTGAGGGATTAGCCATTACATGAAGTACAGAGATCAAGATTACCTGACAATGACTCCGGGTCGGAGGTCAAAGTTCTTCCTCACAATATCAAGCAGTTCCCTCTCACTCTTTTGGGAGGTCCCGTAGTGGAAAATAGAAATGGAGAGTGGATGGGCAACTCCAATGGCATAGGACACCTAATATAGCATACATATGTTACAATGAGAATAACAGATCATACAAAACTCCAGGAGGCGGGACCTCTGGGAAACCCTGACTCTAAAGAGAACCAGCAGGCTTTGGCAACACAACCCACCTGCACCAGCACTCTTCGGCATAGTCCAGCCTTTACCAGGGACTTGGCCACCCAGCGCGCAGCATAGGCAGCAGAGCGGTCCACCTTCGTGTAATCCTTTCCAGAGAAAGCACCACCTCCATGGGCTCCCCAGCCTCCATAGGTGTCGACAATGATTTTACGTCCAGTGAGGCCGGCATCTCCCTGTAGAAAAGAATAGACGTTTCCGGGTTAGCAACTTCCAGGATATCTGGTTAACCCAAGTCAAAGGGTGAGATACTTGCCTGAGGCCCTCCAATCACAAATCGTCCACTTGGTTGCAGGTGGTAAATGGTGTCATCATCCAGGTAGACCGAAGGAACCACGGCCTTGATAATCTTCTCCTTCAGGGCATCCCTCATCTCCTCCAGGCAGATTTCCTCATCGTGTTGGACAGAAATGACAATGGTATGCACTCGCACAGGGAGCATAGCACCACGATCCTGGCGGTACTGCACAGTAACCTGCAAAGAATTAAAGCGTAAGCCCTCTCGTTTTAGATACACACAGACACTTAAGGCACAAGAAAGAGCTATACCTGTGTCTTTGAGTCTGGGCGGAGCCACGGAAGAGTGCCATTACGTCGAAGTTCGGCCATCTTTGCATTCAGCTTATGGGCAAGGATGATTGTCAGAGGCATGCACTCATCAGTTTCATCAGTTGCATACCCGAACATCAAACCCTATAAAAAAATAATAACACATTAATATACATCAAACATTTAATACACAAGCCAAGTATTTTATATTTACTGACCTGGTCTCCTGCCCCAACATCCTCTTCACTGCGATCAATATGCACACCTTGAGCAATGTCGGGAGACTGCTGCTCAAGGGCCACAAGAACGTTGCAGGTCTTGTAGTCGAAGCCTGTGTAGGAAATGGTTTAAGATAAAGACTAGGAACTGCAACAAAGTTCACATATGCACACATGAAAACAAGCTGCACCTTTAGAGGAGTCATCATATCCGATCTGGCGGATGGTCTCACGGACAACTTTCTGGTAGTCCACAACCGCATGGGATGTAACTTCACCCGCCAACAGAATCATCCCGGTCTTGGCAACAGTTTCTGCGTTAGGCAAGATGGGCACGTGTTCATGTGAAATGCAGTTTTTTTTTTCTATAGTAATTCAAGCCATTAAAAAGCAGTTATTGTTGTAATTGCAGTTTCTCTTGTTTTCTGCAATCCCCAGTTCTATCATGCATAGGAAGGAGGAAAAGAGGGCGTCTTACCACATGCGATCTTAGCATCGGGGTCCTGCTTGAGATGGGCATCCAGGATTGCATCACTGATTTGATCACAGATTTTGTCTAGAAAAAACAAACAAAAATAATCCCATACATAAAACCTGTAAACTTACAACACATTAACAACAAAGCGAAAATGCAATGCGGTCCGGTTGTTGTTTTTTTTTGGCAGGGATAGAAAGAGCACACGGTGTCTCCTTACAGTCGCCATTTCAGCAGTTCCACATGTGGTGGAGAGAGCGCGCGGGCAACTATACCGGAAAACAAGCCCTCATATAATATAATAATGACACTAATCTAATCCCTGGTTGCCCGTTTCAAATATATTTCAACCACACTTTTAACTATATGTATATCTAGAGCGTGCAATGAATCTACGAAGGAACACGGCATTGTATAAGCTAGCTAGCTAGCTTTAGCTTGTAGCAGCGCGTGCTCTTAAAACCGGACCAGGACAGCTGCGTGGTGGAAATGGAATTTAATTTATGTTAACTTCATAAAAAAAAGAAACCCGAGCCGCGACATGTACAGTTTTAAGAAGACAAATGCAACGCTTAAACATCCTTGTCAAGCTGCCATTTATGTGAGCTAAAAAAAAAATAATAAAAAAAAAAAAGGCCGGCATTTAGCTTCTTACCGGGATGTCCTTCTCCCACCGACTCTGAGGTGAACAAGAAGCAGTCCTCCTCGATCAGGGAGTTGTGGAAACCGTTTATCTCTCCGTTCATCATGACTGCGGCTGCTTTTACAAAGAACAATAAAGGCTAGGTCAGGCTAACTTGGTACCAGCTTAAATAACTGCCTGGTTTCTATCTTTTCTCTGTTCTCGCAGAGCACAGGTTTCCTCAACCTATCTGTTTGATCCTCAAACCTTCGCCTCATGGCGCAGAGCTCCGACATTTATACTGAGAAGTCAGACGTCTTCACGTCAGATGAGGCGGTCCGTATCGCTTAGCCAATCAGAGAGTAGTACCATACTGTACAGGAGGAATGCGTTGCTGCGTTCAAAATCGACAAGAATCACATGCTTATGCAACGTTACAGTTAAGAGTGAGGTTTTCTTCAGGGACTGTTGCCTAATGTATCTCTATTCAAGCCATTTGCGAGTATTCTTATTAGAACTGTACCTGTATGATAAATGAAATCATACTTTCTCAGCAGAAGAATGTTTTATTGGCATTTTACATAAGTTTAGGTCTGACATTCTTCCACTACAGCATTTGTTGATATTCCCCGTTTCTTTACATAAAAAAAAGAACATTATATTTTTATTCTACTTTAGTACTAATAGTTGCTGGCCTCTGTTAAACACATACACACTCAGACTTGAGCACCGTGTTTTGTCTCGGCTTCTAACTCATTTTCAGCTCTTTCTGGGCCCTTATCCAATAAATAACCCCAAACCTAACCATTATAAGTGTATACACACCTAAGTGTAAAACGTTAACACTGAATTGAAACCTGTCACAGTTTATTTAGGTTTAAGTTTAGCAGAAGATGTCTATTTTTTGCTTTTTTTCCACAGAAAAAACACATAGCTATATGTGCATCATCTAGAACTCTACCAACAAATAAGTGGAAAAGTAGAAATTTAAACATATATTTAGTTGTAGGGCTGCAACTAACATTTATTTTGCAAATCGATTAATCTGTCGGTTATTTTTCGGATATCAATCCGATAGCCAAAGCCCTAAAGATTTTTTTATTAAATTAAACCAGGTGAAATTAAAACGTTTCCACTTGAGGAGTTCTGGATAGAGCATATTGACAGACAAAAATATTTATCTTATATATATATTACAATTTTGATATAATTACTGCTCTAAGAGGGTCACTCCGACAGCTAAAGGCATACTTAAAGTCTCTAGACTCTATTTAACGATTGATCTATCACTGTCAATTATTTCAATAATCAATTAATCCGATTAATTGTATCAGCCCAATTTAGTTGTCTTCAAAAGTCAAGAAAATCTTAGACAATGTGACAATGACAGTAACACATTTAGAGATTTTCAAGGTTGCATTTTGAAATCGCGACAAATTTATCTGCAGACTGGCATGAGGTAAGTTGCTTAAATAATGACACAAAAGTAAAAATATTTCTTGCTTTATAGAGACACTAATCACCTTTATAAAAAATCAGGTTTTTTTTTCTTTGGGTCAAGTAAATAAAAAGCCTATCTGAAGTTTAGTTAAATGAATACAACCATAAAGACACGATTGACTGCAAATTTCATTAAAGATTTGGTAGCATTTGCTATGTTTACCACAGAAAAAAATGCTTTTCCTCAAAACCTATCAACCACTATGTTTAAACACAATCTTTTCTTAAGTCATCCAATACTATGCAGTCTTTTTGGGGATCACAGGAACATCAGCATGTCTCCTATTGACAGGGACAGATTATCCTCAGCCACTGGTCACATTTGACTTTGCTTAAAAGTAAACAATGGTTCTTGGAATAATATTAAAGTACATACAGGAGAAGCTATATTTGAAATAATGTGATCATATTACTCTAAGATGATGTTCTTCTGCTCTATGCCTTCACTAAGATGATAATATTTGATCATTGCATTGGTTAAGCCTACTTTGGTTAACGCCAAAGTATTTGGAGGCAATCAGCATTTTTATGTAAGGAACATAATAACTTAAATACAAAAAATAAAAGGGAGATTTGTGTTTTTTATCATTAATAAGTTGATATACAAAATATTGATATTATCTGCAAAACAGCTCTTCTGAAATCTGATGGTGGACAAACTGAATCTGTTTTGTTCGTGATTTGGCTATTAACCACATTCTTACAGCAGGTCTTTATCGTTTCACTCAATTCATCCTCTATCAGTTTCACTCTGTTTTATGGTTTTTATTGGTGTCAGCGGATCATGCAGGTCAATCATTGAGTGGTGTTGCATCAGTAGAGCTGAGTCAG